TGCAGTACGGCCCAGCGACTGACTGATTTCGTCTGCCTAGATCAATTCACAACGTGGGTAGGTTAGACTAGAAATCAAAGCAGTTACTTCGGTAACCAGACGTTGGAAGCGAGCTGGGAACGACAAGGCTGATACCGAATCTAACCAGATTCCCATCCGAATCAGCAAAAGGTTAGAACGTCACATTTGGGTGCCTCGATCAATACCAAGCCAGTTGGTCGTCACAGGACGGGATAGCACGACTGACGCAGACAGGCGGACGTCACATTTGGGAGCGGCGACACCGGCCGGGGGGGGGGTCGTCACATTGTAACTCGGGTGTTAGACTCTTCTTTTCGCTTTCCGATTAGGTGGACTGGCTTATTTGACTTGAAAGTCTTTTGTTTTTGTATTTTACAGTGACGTTCACTCTGTAAAAAGCTCGGAGGCCACTCGAGGTAGAGTATTACAGACTAAGAAGCAGGTGATGCGAATAGGAAGGAAAGATAACGGTTAACCCTAAAATTGAACAAGTCAAGATTATAGTGATTGGGAAACCATCGATTTGGTAGTCGATTTTACATATCCGCGGTTCGCAGGAAGAAGTTCTTCGATTGTAACTTACTACTCACCAGTGAGACAAGGAGGGGATGAGAGTATTTTGCCTGCAGTATAGTGGGGCCTAGACGTGCAGGTTAGAACTGGCAGAGAAAGAAATAGATTTCGTCTGAGCATTGCCATGGAAATAACGATAGAGCAGTCACATGCTTATCAAATCTCGTCTTTGAGAGCGGGGTTGCAGGGTAGAGAATCATGTCCCACTCACAGGGACTTGGAGACGATTTTGGACTCTATCGAGATTAGAAAGTGAGGGATAGGCAGCTCCTGCCGAAATAGGATATCAGTCCTCCATTTTTGTCCTGATCTCGGTCTTGTAAAGGTAGATGATAGCACGAGGAGTCAGATACTTACTGGAACGATACAACAAGCCAATTAATTTTTTTTGTACTTTTAGCGATGGATCATATATATGAATTCCACTTGATGGCTGGAGCGAGTTCAAGGCCCTATATTCTCTCAAGGTGCGGAGGACCCCCGATGGTACATCCATTCATCGTGACTGGTGTAAGTTCGGCTCCGATCGGCGATGATGAAATGTAACTAGTTTGATTTTCGAGGTACTGGATGTATCCAGAAAGTTTTCGTTTACCACTGTAATTTTAGAACTAGAAACTGGATCTGGTGAGAGATGGCCAGCCAATCTCTGGTTATCAAGATTTCAAACGGAGCGTCAGCTGAATTTTTATGTACTGTATTATGCACCTCAGTTGGCGGTCCATGTGGCTGGTATAATCATATCAGACTGGGTTGTCATGGTGGCTAAATTGAGATTTGTATACTATTACTCCACCATTATTTTCTTGGTTGAATTCTCTTCCACTCAATGATGATAATAATAATAATAATAATAATAATAATAATAATAACATCCATATACTGAAAAAGTACTATCAATGAAATGATAATTCTCCTAAGGACCATAGTTTTTGGTTTGGTTTGGTTTTGTTTTGTTTGTTTTACGGCATATCAACCTATATGGGTTATTTAATACCGACAGGTTTTTTATTGTTGGTAATATTTTTTCCATAAATGTATTACTGCTAATATTTTTTCCAAAAATGTTTTGCTGGTAATATTTTTTTTTTTTAAATGTATTCTTGATAATAATTTTTTTCTTCAAAAATACATTGCTGGTAATAACTTTCTACAAAAATGTATTGCTGGTATTTAAACTTATTTTTACACTTCCATAGTGTATTTAGCCCAGTTTGAAAGTCAACTATTTGCCCATTGCTGAGATCCACCGGGTCAGGGTGTACCTTTGAACACCAGCAAGTAAGAAGTGGATCCAAGTTCATCAAACCCTGCTCAGAGGCGTTGATGTTGGATGTAGTTTATCGTCTTATCCAGGACGATCATAGTTTTTAACCGGATCTACAGGATACAAAGCAGGAATCACAACAGGCACAAATAGTAACAATAATAATGATAATAATAATAATAATAATAATAATAATAATAATAATAATAATAATGAAACAGATTAAGAGATCAAACAATACAGACAGAGTGCCCAAACATTACTATCAATGTGAGAAATGAAAAAGGTTGCACACTGACTGACATGAGCGTACCAAATGACAAAGGTTTCTGAAATCTAAGCAAATACAAAGACGTGGGAGTGGAAATAATAAAAAAAAAATTGGATCTTAAAAAATATAATACAGTTCCTGTTGTCATTGGAGCTTTGTGTCTGGTGAATAAAGGAACTCAAGAACAAATTAACAAGATCCTGAAGGCAACATCTGTCCAGGGAACGCGAAAATACTTCTAAAAATCACATCCCATATGCTGTGAAACGCTTTGCCTATTAATGTTTTTATTTTAATTGGCGCACTTAGAATCGTAATGAAAACTGACGTTTGCATAGAATGAAGGGAAAATCCGTGGAAGAATAGAGGTGACCTGGGGTACTACGTGGATGAAATGGTGATTAATTTTTTAGAGTTTTCAGATTTGTTTGCATTTACCCTAGACCTCCAAATACCCGAAATAATAATATAAATAAGGTTTACGGCCATATAAATTCGAAACACCGGTTCACGTAAGATCACCCATAGTAAGCAATACTGAGCCCGGTCAGTACCTAACTGGGTGACTGCTTAGGAAGAGCTAGTTCTATAAGCATGGATGTGCAGGTGGTATAATGAATAAGGGCTTGGAATTCTTAATTGGAAAGCCGATTTCCAATTCCAGGCGGATTAGTTTTATTCACTTACGAACAATTATCTTTGTGAAAAGTTCTTCGTCTTCCCCCTAACTATGGGTGAATTAACGAGATCTGTGTCAGTAAAAGATTATCATCTCTAAAAGAAACTCGTACAATCAGAACATGGTTTCTGGATTTGAATCAACTGCAAGGGTTTGATAAGCCGTAAACAACAAAACAATAAAATTAAATCATAATACAGTGTCTTCCCCGCTTGATTTAATCGCTATAATTAACATTTTGTACCCAAAAAAGGTTTTTAAATCTTTATAATAATTAAAAAAATTGTACCATTACGTATCTCGAGACATACTTTGTTAAATTGACCAGATTTTACCGATCTACAACATTAGCGTGATGTGTAGGAAGTTTATCTTTTAAGTAATTGTCAGTGCATAACTTTAGATCAGCATTTGGTTTTTACTGCAAGGAAAAGGTGTATTAATGTGTTTCTCTATAGCAGAGTGCCTCACATCTTTTTAGCTGCCATAGCTTGGGGATGGACAATAATAAAAGACTTGGGGATGGAAATAGTAAAAAAAAAAAAAAAAAACAAAACCTTGGAGCATAATAAAATAAAACAGTTCCTGTTGTGATTGGAGCTTTGTGTCTGATGAATAAGGAACTCAAGGACAAATTAACAAAATCCTCGGAGGTAACATCTATCCAGGGAATGCGAAAATATTTCTAAAAATCACAGCCCATATGTTGCGAAACGCTTTGCCCATTGATGCTTTTATTTTAATTGGCGCACTTAGAATCGCAATGAAGACTGACGTTTGCATTGAATGAAGTGAAAATCCGTGGAAGAATAGAGGCGACCTGGGGTACTACGTTGATGAAATGGTGGGATTAACAAGATCTGTATGAGTAAAACATTATCATCTCTAAAAAAACTCATGCAATCGGAACATGTTTTCTGGCTTTGAATCAACTGCAAGGGTTTGATAAGCCGTAAAAAACAAAATCAAATTAAATGATAATACAGTCAACCCCCGCAGGATTTAATCGCTATAATTAACATTTTGTACCGCAAAGAAGGTTTTTAAATCTTTATAATAATTAAAAAAAAATAAAACATTGCATATCTCGAGCCATACTTTGTTAAACTGACCAGATTTTACATATATATATATATATTAGGTAAATTAATAAGAAAGTGGAAAAACTGTGTGGTGCGTTTCTGTCTTTTCGGTTTCATCTGACTAAAGTAATAGTTTTGCTAATATAATTATAAATTCGTAAAGATAGGGGCAATACAAAAGCGCAAACGTTGGCTATAATTATGTAGAGAAAAGAATCAGCAAAAATTTTGAACCGTTGAAATTTGACATTTACTTTTTTGTTATATCCATCTGGGTATATCTTTTACCCAATTTCATTTCATTTATTTTTGTTCAAGCTTTCGTCATTTTTTGATATTAAGTATCCCACATTGTGATAACAGAAGATATACCGACTATTGCAAGTACCTGGACACAAATATACTGTAGATTCTTCTAGCGATGAAAGCATTATCTATACGAACAAAACAGTGTCAAAAAAAAAAAAAATAAAACAAAATTATTAAGTTAATTGTTACCTAAACTCGGTGTATCTATGCACTTTACCAAATTTCTAAAGAATTGACTAATATCTAATGACACTGGTTTCAACTTGAGGTTAGAGTTAGGTGTACGGTATTATATGTGTGCTGAGGACCACAGAGCGGAAACGTTTCAGACCTCATCAGGGCGAAGGACGAAAGGAGAGCCTCGGATTATCTAATATGATTCATATAAATGCTATGCGTGGCACCAAACCCATTCAGAAATATCTAAACTGTCAGTTGTATGCAACCGTTTTCTATGATCAATGGTTAAAGGTCGCTTTGAGCTTGTGAAGACTGGATTTTGGCGAAAACAATATTTCTTAAAACATTGTTCGTTGGAGCTAATCATCTCAAAGACCTGTGTCACATCGTAGAAAATACATCATTTGAGGTTTTCAATAACAGCAAAACCTAAAATCCATAGCACATGTGAATTGAAGAAAAATGCTAAAATCCATAGAACATGTAAATTGATATTATAAGGAAACTGTTAAAATTACCAATTACTTGAAAGAGGTGGAAAAGTGGCTAAAGACGAAGATGATACTGGAGATTCCAGGACTGATGATACCGGAGAATCTTCTTTCCGTATCAGGATCGATGTTACCGGAGATTCTCCTTTCAATATCAGGATCGATGTTACCGGAGAATCTTCTTTCAATATCAGGGTCGATGTTACCGGAGAATCTTCTTTCGATATAGGGGACCGATTGTTAATGGAGAATCTGCTTTCCGTATCAGGATCGATGTTACCGGAGAATCTTCTTTCAATATCAGGATCGATGTTACAGGAGAATCTTCTTTCAATATCAGGGTCGATGTTACCGGAGAATCTTCTTTCAATATCAGGATCGATGTTACCGGAGATTCTTCTTTCAATATCACGATCGATGTTACCGGAGAATCTTCTTTCAATATCAGGATCGATGTTACCGGAGAATCTTCTTTCCGTATCAGGATCGATGTTACCGGAGAATCTTCTTTCACTATCAGGATCGATGTTACCGGAGAATCTTCTTTCAATTTCAGGATCGATGTTACCGGAAAATCTTCTTTCAATATCAGGATCGATGTTAATGGAGAATCTTCTTTCAATATCAGGATCGATGTTACCAGCGAATCTTCTTTCCGTATCAAGATCGATGTTACCGGAGATTCTCCTTTCAATATCATGATCGATCTTACCGGAGAATCTTCTTTCAATATCAGGATCGATGTTACCGGAGAATCTTCTTTCAATATCAGGGTCGATGTTACCGGAGAATCTTCTTTCAATATAGGTGACCGATTGTTAATGGAGAATCTGCTTTCCGTATCAGGATAGATGTTACCGGAGAATTTTCTTTCAATATCAGGATCGATGTTACCGGAGAATCTTCTTTCAATATCAGGATCGATGTTACCGGAGAATCTTCTTTCAATATCAGGATCGATGTTAATGGAGAATCTTCTTTCAATATCAGGATCGATGTTACCAGAGAATCTTATTTCCGTATCAAGATCGATGTTACCGGAGATTCTCCATTTCAATATCATGATCGGTCTTACCGGAGAATCTTCTTTCAATATCAGGATCGATGTTACCGGAGAATCTTCTTTCAATATCAGGGTCGATGTTACCGGAGAATCTTCTTTCAATATAGGTGACCGATTGTTAATGGAGAATCTGCTTTCCGTATCAGGATAGATGTTACCGGAGAATTTTCTTTCAATATCAGGATCGATGTTACCGGAGAATCTTCTTTCAATACCAGGATCGATGTTAATGGAGAATCTTCTTTCAATATCAGGATCGATGATACCGGAGAATCTTCTTTCCGTATCAAGATCGATGTTACCGGAGAATCTTCTTTCCGTATCAGGATCGATGTTACCGGAGAATCTTCTTTCGATATCAGGATCGATGTTAATGGAGATACTTCTTTCGATGTCAGGGCCGATAAAACTGGAGATTATTCATTCAATTTTGTCAAGGATATCTAGACATATATAAGAACGCTAGACTAGACGTAGCAATAATATTCGAAGTACCAATGAATAGTAGATCTATAAATGTGCAAGTTATATTCTGGCGAGAAAAATTACCTAACACGATAGAGTGAACCACTTTTTTTAGGGGCAGTTTTGTTTTAATATAATCCTTAGTATATAAGTGAAATAGGCTTCTATCTTCTACTCTAGAATATAGATGTGTTGTTGCTGCCATTGATCAGTACGGACGTGGCTTTTTGATCTTTTTCTTTCTTTACTTTTTCAAAGAAATATTATTCTCCCTTTTTGTCAACAGAACGCTCTCATTTACCGCTTATTCCATTCTTTCTTTTTTTCTCTTTTTGTCATTCCCCTCTCATTTCAGCTATACTTTCCCCACTCCTTTATCAATATCAATCTCACCTTTAAGTCTTATTGTACCAAATACTTCACTTTGCGTCCTTCTCACTCCCCTCTCATTTCGACTATTCTTTCCCCACTTCTTTATCAATATCAATCTCTCCTTTAAGTCTTATTCTACCAAATACTTCTCTTTGCGTCCTTCTCACTCCCCTATCATTTAGAAGGAACGGTGGAGTAATGGATAGCGGCTTGGATTGAGGAATCGGAGAGCCGAGTTCGAATTCCAGTCGGATCCATTACATTCATTTACGTGGTAACACCCTTGGGAAAGGTGTGAATCCTCTTTCTTCTCCCTCCAGCTATGGGTAAATAGCAGGACAGACTGGGTTCTATAGCCTTGGATAGCAACTGGTCTAGAAGAAGGAAAACTCTGAATTCAAACCTGCTCTTAAATGGAGTCTCTCATTTAGTGATGGTGTCACGATAAAAACACCTTTGAAGTATCAAGAATTCAGCTATTTGACAAGATTATGAACTACACCAATCAAAGTATTAGTGAGTTCAATCTCGGCTGAAGCCGCAAGAGAGAGATCATTTCACTCCTCTTCTCACTCCCCTTTCATTTCAATCCTACTCACTCTCGTCGCGATGTAGTTCACTCTTTTACGTCTCACGGCACAGATTTCCACTCTTTCTGATTCCTTTACTTTCGCTCTCTTCTTATTTCAACTTTATTGTCTCTTCTTCTTTTTTCTTGTCTCGAGAGAAGATCAAGCAAAGAAACATCTCATTCTTGTCATCTTTCTTGACGCCTTCATTTTTCATCTCTGACCACTTGAAAAGCTTTCTTCCTTCACGCTTCTCTATAGTCTGTCCACTTTTAACTATATTCAAACATTGAGTGGATAGTTGAATACTCATTGAAAAAAAAAGCCCTCCATCATCAGCCGTGGGCTTCCCTGATGCGTACGTGGATTTCTTTGATCAGAGATTTGATTCTACTCAAGTATTTCTATTATTTACTAGGCAGTTATAAAGTAGGCGGCTGCCTTGCAGCGATAATTATTGCAATCCCTTGCCAGTTATGTGGAAGTCTAAAGAATCTAGTTTTTATTTACTGTTCCACATATATATCCTTGAAGCAATCTAAAATAAACTGAACATATTTCACGGATTTCCTTCGGCAGAGCTACGGTTAACATCATCATCATGCGGCCTCAGCCGAGATTGAACTCACCAATACTTTGATTGGTGTAGTTCATAATCTTGTCAAATAGCTGAATTCTTGATGCTTCGCTAGGGCTATCAAGGGTGTTTTTTATCGTGACACCATCACTAAATGGATTGCCAACCAAGGCTGAGAGAGACTCCATTCACCCTCCGCAGGTTTTGAATTCCGAATTCTCCTAGACCAGTTGCCATCCAAGGCTATAGAACCCAGTCTGTCTTGCTATTTACCCATAGCTGGAAGAAGAAGAAAGAGGATTCACACATTTCCCAAGCCCGTAAGTGAATATAATGGATTCGACTGGAATTCGAACTCGGCTCTCCGATTCCTCAATCCAAGCCGCTATCCATTACTCCACCGTTAACAAGCCTATCTTATTAGGGCATTAATATAGTCATATATTATGTTGTTATGGGCACGTTGCCGAGTGGTTAGAATGTTCGCTTACTGACCATGAGACCAGGTTTCGAATCTCACTAGGGTTGATTTGCCAGGAAGTTATCGGTCTGGAGGAGATGGTCCGGGCTTGCGGCAAATTTGGATAGTGCCTGTAAAACAGACCACGGGTTGACCCAAGCTTTGTGAGTGAAATTGTGGAGCCATCGTTTGCTGTGCTACTACGAAGTTACAAGTCATCGTGGCTGAGGGTTTGAGCGTGCTAGTCTTGTTCAGACTGTTGATTACGTTAGATAACGCGTTTTCTCGCCGAAACTGTAATTAAGGCCCGCTCAGCATAGTTGCCGTATAAACCCGAGGTGGGCCCTGTCGGTGTTGGATAATGTGCTTGATTAGGGATTAGCTAGCCCTCTGTAGACGGGCATACAGGGATACGAGTGGTTAGCCACTATATTAGGTTTTTACTCTCGTTCTTTTTTCTGCGAATTATCTTGAAAAAATAAAGTTTACTGATATTCATTTGTTTCTTAGTAACTCTGGTCTTCATGTGAAAATATTCTCGCCCGTTATTTACATTTGACTTCACATTAGAAAACACTTTGATATGGAATATTGTTGTGGACTTGTTACGGCCAGAAATAAAGACACAAGAGATGAACTTATTTAAACAAATATATTAACAGAAACAGTAATACAAACAAATACAAGCGAGAGTATTATAGCAAGAATGTTCGGTCTAACTGTCAGAGCTTACCGCTGGAAAATTCCGCCTCCAAAAGGCAGTACCTGCTCCTATTTATAGCTGGGAGAGTCCATGCGTGCGTGGGTAAATTACCATAAAACTTTCTATCTATCTATCTATCTATCTATCTATGTCTGTTCACATCTATCTATCTATCTATCTTTCTATCTATCTATCTATCTATCTATCTATCTATCTATCTATCTGTTGTGGCTTTGTTAAAGCCATAAATGAAGAAACAAGAGAGGAAATGAGTTAAATATATTAACAGAAACTGTGATATAATCATATACAAACGAGAGTGTTACAGCAATAAAGTTCGGCCCGCCTGTCAGATCTGACTGCTGGAAATCTCCCTCTCCAAAAGGCAGTACCTGCTTCTATTTATAGCTGGGAGAGTCCATGCGTGCGTGGGTAAATTACCATAACACTATCTATCTATCTATCTATCTATCTATCTATCTATCTATCTATCTGTTGTGGCCTTGTTAGGTCCATGCGTGTGTGGGTAAATTACCATGACAAATACCAAATAGAAAATGTGTGTGTTCAATAACTTCTCTTTGCTTTTAATCAAGGTTAAGTATTTGCCAAAGGTGCTCGAGACACGCAAGTGATGATCTGCGTTTGGTGGGTTTGGCAACAACTTACTAATAAATGTTTTAAAACAACTGAACGGTCAATGCTAAACTGCATATCGAACAAATGAACAGACTCCAAGAGGCAAATCAGCTGAAAAAACATGGCCGGAGATGTAGTGAGACGCGTCAATGCTCGTCGTCATGTTGCTAACAGGACTAAACATACAATTAATAGAACACGGTTGAGAAATTTGACCACACTCCTGATTCAGCTCCTTCAGACTACCCTGTTGTTAAGTCGCTTTCAAACAATTTGAGGGATATTTCGTTCAAAAACAATGTGGCGATAAAACGTCGTTTGATGTTTTTCTTTTAGTCAAAACTTATTTTTATCTTTGAGGCATTGAAGAGTGGATCGTTGGCAGTAGATTGTAAACAATGAAGTGGAATATATTGTTAAATAATCCATGATAACTAATAACAAATTATAAGTATTAAAATATACTATTTACATTAATTGGATTATTGTCCTCATCTTTGTCGCCATATTTAAACGCTGTAATAGATATGGCGACAAAGATGAGGACAATAGTCCGAATAATGTAAATAGTATACATAATACCTCATCTAGGAAATATAGACAGATACTAAAATAAATTATAAAAAAAAAATAACGAATTTATGTTGCAACATAATAAATTCTAATTGGACACCTTCTGTAGAGAAAGGATTAACAGACTTCCTCCTACGATTCCCTTGTGTAGTGAGTTTGCCATTCGCTAATATTCCTTAAATGATATAGTCTCGTGTTAAACTAATCTGATCTTAGCAAAATCTTTTATGAGGGAACGAATTGTTAGACATTTCCATGACGGTCGTCCTTGAGTATTGAATCTAGAGGTTGGCAGTGAATATTTCGGAGACAGTAGAAAAGCGTACTATAGGTTCGCAGTGGATATCACAGCAGAGTGTAGTTCATCCTTCTCCTGGTCGCCTTTAGTCCTTTCAGTAGGAGGAAACAAGATGGCCGCCTTTATACACGACGAATTCAGTATTGGGCGGCTTCTGATTGGTCAACCTTCCATTGGTCGACTATAAAGGGAAATAAGTCATTCTGACTCGCTCACTAGTTATGTGCATTATATACCCCAAAAACCGTAACACGAATGTTGTGATGCCAGTGGTTATATAAACAACAGCTCGCAAAAGGGAAGAAAGTAAGTTCCAGTTATCAAACCAAGGACTGCTTCTCACCCACGAACACATCCACATTCAGTGACCGAGAATCACTGAGGGAGTTTTAGATTGAATAAAATATAAAGTCGTAGTCGTATTCTTTGGTTTGCTCTGTCATCTTTAAACCACAACCGACAGAAGCCAATATACACACCAACCACATGTTGGCAGAAACATCGTTGCGAGACCAGTGCGTGGACGAACACAGACAAAATTATCAGACAAACGTATCCAGTAGCGAAGCATGATATTTACTAACTCGACCAGACACAAGCTAGAGAGAAATAGGGTAGAGTGATCATTGTCAAGTTAATTTCAAATAATACTGATGTATTTTCTGTTTCAGGCGTAGATCGAATACTTTCCTTTGGAGTGAATTGTAATATAATAAAAACACTGAGTTGAAGTTTCTGAAGCTATATTCCTCCTGATCAGAGGCCTTGTTGTTGGACGTAGTTTATTGCCTTACCCCGGGCGCGGATGTAGTTTATCGTCATACCCAGGACGGTCATCAGGTATATTTGTAATTATTTAGATATAATGGTTAAGTGGGTTGGTTAGCGTTTTTCTCTACGCGGAAGGGGGAATCGGACTGACAGATTTTAATTCTGATTTCGTCCGTTTTATTTTCTTCGAATTAATGCCGTTGGAAATGGTATCAATCAATTTTTACCATCTATTGGTTAAATAGCAAGTTTGACTAAATTCTTTTGTCTTGGGTGGCAGTGAGATCTGTGAACGAAAACCCCGAATTCAAAACTCCGTCAAAACACCTGCAAAACAAAACTAATTTCTTATCACCACTGCAGTGGAGGATTCCTGCCTACCATCAGCATGCCTGAATCTATTTTGTAGAACAGAAAAACTCTATGTCTTCTTGGCTTCACGATTTTCACTGACATGAAGTGGAGCGATTATAACGAATCAATTGCTGCATCTACTGCAAGGAAAGTTTGATCACCGCCCATAATATTATACTCGCCGGAGTCCATCTTGTACATTTAGAAATCTACCATTCGTCCGTGAATTTAATACTGTTGCCATATCTGGTATGGTACTCTTACTGTTCATCTCGATGTTCTTGACAAAATCCCAAAAAGGATCTATAATGTAATCGATCCTGACGAGGAATCTCGAGTTCAGTCACTTTCTCACAGACGTGACATGGCTTCCCTCTGTCTTTTTTGTGAATTCAACGAATAATCGTCTCCACTTTTGTGATGTCAACGAATACTCGTTGTCACTTTCGTAATGCTCGTTCTAGTAGAGACTTTGTAATAGCAGATACAACTATAGTGACGCCGTTGAACAATACTGGTGTCAGACGCCTTCGAATAACACTCGCCCTAATCGTACTTACTCGATAATACTCGCTCGAAAGTAGCCCGTATAACGATCCAAATAGAGAAATAGTATGGTGAATAGAGTAGAGAATAGCAGTCTGTATAGTAATAGAGGATAGACTAGAAATAGGGATCGTTACTCGTCACGATACTTCTTATGCATTTACGCTTCCTCCATGGTCACGTGATCTACTTATTCAAAATAGGATCGCCTGTGTTTGCTCCCTTGTGATCTGTGTTCAAACTCCAGTGTCGGCAGCGACATTTTATTCCTATATAACACTTTTCTACAAATATATTCTTGGCAACTTCTCTGAGGAGTCTTTGCACCTGGTGCCCTGAATACATGAATTTAAAGCGTGCAACTAGAGTGGCATCTAGGTCCCACACATTCACTGTTGAAATCGCTAAATGCAACCACCACTCCTATTCCAAAAGTCTCTTTTCTTGCACTTCCCACCTGTGCGACCCCCTTCCGTTTATTTTCTTCCCTGATAGCTTCAATCTTGAAACATTTTAATGCAATGTCAATCTTCATCTGCTGTCTTCTTGAATACCGTTAATCTCTTGTCGTTTTTTTCAACCCTTCCTATTCTCAGTCTTCTCTTTCACTTTCATTCCCTGTAGACCCCTGTATACTGGTGGCATTACTACCTTGTTTGGGGTGAAATGATTAAACAAATGGGGCATACTGGGTTCTTTTGCCTTCAATGGCAGCCAATCGAGAAAAGAAAACACTTAATTCACCACTTCCTGTAAATTATACCATAGGCTGCTTCTCTTCGGTAGCAGCGAGTCTAAGAAAAGAAAACCGTTGAAATCAAACGCCACAGAGAGATTCAGGGGGCCCCTTGGGTCGTCTAGAGTGTATAGCAAAAGGGAAAAGTTTTAATTGGTACCCCTGTAAATAAGAAAGAATACGGGTGTTTACTATAACTGTCAGTCGTGGCGGAAGAATAAGAAGTTGACTAATGATAACATCTATATGTTTAATATGTCTATCCTGAAAACTATCTTCATCATTGCTCTCAAATGTTTTTTTTAATTTTTTAAAGCAATTATAAATGACGTCTGAAATGTTTAAGAAAACAACAAATCCGCAACGATTACGCAAATAAGAAAGCATCAATCAATGGAATTATCCGATGTGCACGCAAACGTGTCCTTGCGTATTCCGGGAAAAACGGAAATAAGTTTATTACTGATAATTCTGAAGAAAAGAAAAAAAAAAGGAAAAAAAAATGGCCGCTGAAAATGGTATGTGATTACTTTCCTTTGCTTGATAGAAATGTCGAATTAGAAAAGAGAAAACGAAAGAAAAGAAACGAAATAATCATTTTTTTGCCTACATCCAAGAGAAGAAAAATATACTTAAATCCTAGCGGTAACGAATACGTGATTCCCTTTTGAAATGTAAGAACGGAAATCTATTTTCAGTATGATACCATGTTCATCCGTTCCAAATAAAGTTAATTTCTCTTTTACTTACCTACGCTGACAGACATGAAGAATGTTGGGACCTTCCGTTAGGCGTTAAGTAGCGGTTACCGAAGTAGCCGAGCAAACCTACTGCTGACTTGTAGTGAGTTCGATTCTCAGAGGCTCACCTATGCCGACGTCAGAACAGCCTATTATCTGTAAAACATACTAAGCAGTTATTTTCTTCGATTTTAAGACTATCCATAGTATTCTATAATCGACATCATATAATCAATATTCCTATTAATTCGGCTTCCTGTAGCAACAGGTTTGATACAAGGCCACATTTAAAGTGTGGTTAACCTGCTTTGCGTAAAGTTAGAAACAAAAAGAAATTCTTCAGGTGCTAGTGTATATTATGTATTATCTAAAGATATTAATAATTATTATTTCATTAAAGAAAATCTCTCCTAATAAAAAGAAAAAAGGAACATTTTGTGCAAAATACAATTCTGACAAAAAAATCTCAACAAACAAACAAAAAAATGTATAGGATAAGGCTAGAAGACGGTTACATATCCTGCAAAAATCGAAAAATTAGACATAATGTCGCTTTTTTAATGGCCGTGAAATAATGAATCAGCAATTAGAAAGATGAGGTTTCCTTATTAAATGAGAGTTAAATGTGACGTCGCCCCCCCCTGGTCGCAGCGTCGACTCTGTCGTTCGATCTCGTTCGCGGCTCCAATTGTGACGTGACGTGATGTAGCTGCCCAAGGGTCGATCCTTGTCACGGACAGCACCAGTTGTGACGTTTTTGCCGCGGCGTCAGCTGTTCGCTCCTCGCTGCTCCAAGTGTGACGCTCTAACCCTTTGGTTAGATGATTACCAGCCTTGCCGTTCCCAACTCGCTTCCAACACCTGGTTACTAGGGTAACTGTACTGATCTCCGGTCTGCCTACCCACGTTGTGATCAGATCTTAGACAGACGGGATCAAACAGGGATTGGGGCCGTATGCAAGTTGAGTTCGACGGGGTGGCAACACACAAGTAAAAGAAAAAACTCACGAGGCCAAAAATTACTGATAAAAAAAGGGTAACAACCTTTTATATCTAATGTTCGTTACATAAAAATTATTCTTACTTCCCGACCCGTTTTGTGGACTGTGGCACCAAGCTTCTACCATACAATTTAAAGACTTCGAGTTGCCTACTCTCTAGAAATTTGTATGTCGGAGTGTGGTTTGGTTTCGACACTGGGCGCTAATCTCTACCAGTCGTTCACGGCTGATTCTTCTCTTCGGCTTGAGTTGGACGAATTTCTTCACTTCGATTTTCACTTCGTTGGGTTGGACGAATCTCTGTTCTTAGGCATGGTTTGATTTCAACTTCTTCTATGCGCAACTGCAAGTAACTTCTTCTTCGTCCGCCCTGCAACTCTTCTCGCCAAGGTCCGAACTCTTCTCTCTGCCCTCTGTCGTGAACTGAACTTCTCTCCGTCCGGGGCTGAACTTAGCTCTCTGTCGTCCGGGGCTGAACTGAGCTCTCTGTCGTCCGGGGCTGAACTGAACTCTCTGTCGTCCGGGGCTGAACTGATTTCTGTCGGTTGGGGTTCTGCTTTTATTGACGCCGTAACAAACTGGGGTGGGTCTGTCGGCGCTAGGGTTTTTTGATAATTCCAAAAGTCCCACTATTTCTGATTTCCCATTATCGCTCTTACTCTCACCCCTACTTCCTCACAGTGCCTCTGGGGGGGGAGGCGCACACCCACCTCTCCCGGTCTCTCGTATGTCAGGTGACCGTTTTCGACCAATGGGTCCTGGTCGAGCGTCCTTTCTCCTCTTTCTCGCATATCACGTGACCGCTCTCGGCTAATGAGATTCTGGTTGGGCGTCTCCCGTCCTTCGTGACGTCTCCAATCGGGCGTGGCCTATCCGGGGCTCTGTTCTGGGGAAGAACACCTTGCTAAAACAACAAAATCCAATTTGGCCCTTTTCGCACGCACGAAAATGATAATCTCGGCCTTTCTCACCTTTTGGCTTTTGTCAAAACAGCCCGCCGCTAATTAGATGTGACTTCAGGAAGAATTTTTCTCGTCTTGCTGGCGCTTTCTGTGAGCCAAAACAATTGTTTTCATTCCTTTATTTTCGCTCAGGCCTGATAGCCAAAATCTTAATTATCTGAATTGAAAATATCTTCACTTTATCATCGTGGGGGTTCTAATCTTCAACTCTAGAGCTGGTCAAACTGTATACAATTCCAGCGGTCACCTCTCACCCAAAAGACACCCCTTTTCGATTAATATTTCTTTTTCCATTGTTCTAAAAATCCCATTTCTCCAAATTGATAATGAGCTCCCACATTCCGTGGACACAAAAGTAGGCCAGGTGTTTTGACCGATATTTTTATCAATCGTACGTATGTTCATCCACTTTTACCATGTCTGTTTTCTTTTTATTACCTCTAAAGTTTATTCTTTCAAATAACAATTTCTATTGTTCGTGAAATTCGGTCAGGCGCGTTGGCCTAGATATCTCTTGACACCTGTTTTCGCTTATGACCGGCTTTTGCATTATCCATCTCTCCCTCTCTTTTTCTTTCATTTCCTTTTTCTTTTTTCCTTCTTCTTCCCTTAGGATCGCCTAAATACAATTAGAGAATTATTCTCAAAACTCAATTATTCTTCGTCTAAATAACTAACAACTGGTTAATAAACCGAATAAAAATTAAATCATATTTCTATGAATATTTCTTTTTAGTTTTTCTAATAATGCAAGGTGCCACATAAATCCTCAAGAATTCTTCATTGACAAATTTCGACGCGAAGAATATGGGTCTACAATGATATGATTGGAGTGCTTTTTCTACTGCACACTCTTCGTCACTGACTAGTAGTCGGTAGAACGTCCCTCCTGGTGACAATAAATGTATCAAATACACATGCGGACAATTTTCTATTTATTACTATAAGAAAAGCTTTCTTCTGGTGAAAAGATGGCTAATTTGAGTTCGAATTCCAGCCAAATCCATTACATTCATTTACGTGCTAATATCCTTGGGAAATGTCTCCTCTTCTTCTGGAATTCGGTTCTCCGATTCCTCAATCCTAGCCGCTATCCATTACTCTGCCTTTCATTCTCTTATTATCATTGTACCAACTGTATATAATACGAAGAAGAGAGAAAATATTTTGTAACCCAACACTTTGCAACAGAATTATGCTATATTTTACAGCAGTGTTTTTTTTTATTAAATCTCTCTAATCTCCTATTAAGCATGTGATTTGAAATTTGGGTAAATAGCAGGACAGACCGGGTTCTGTAGCCTTGGTTGGCAACTGGTCTATCGCAAAAAGAAATGGCAACCTACTGGGGGAAAATCTGCCTCGTCAGTCACGTATCGAAAGATACATGATCGCCTACGAGTGTATCACGCATGGCACACTGATTGAACTGACAATGATAATTAAATAAAGGTAAAGAGAAGTTCGAAAAACCTAAATGATGTCCTTATTTTCTAGAAACAGAACATGATTTAAAAAAAGAAAATAAATATCATGTATGCCTTCTCCCCGACCTTGAAAAAGACCACTAGCGGATGCTACAAATGCTGCATTTAAGTCCGTCAAGTCATGTAGAAAGGGGCTATGTCTACCCTTCAGTCAGAAACGCATATTCTCTTCCTACACGTATCTATCAGATACGGTGATTGAGAGTTCAGGGTCACATGATCGGGGAAATAGGGAGTATAAGAAGGAAGGTTATTTAGACAAAAAAAAAAAAAAATAATAATAATCGGAAGTCAAGTTGAAGTGCTAAAAGAATATTAACCATTATATCTTTGAGGAAATAAAAAAGCCTGGTATAAACTGTTCCAAAACTTATATAATTGTTGGAAGCTAAGAAAAAAAAAACTTGAAAAAAAAATTAAAGAAAAAGAAAATTCAGAGCAATGCAGCGAGAATTAAAAAAATGACTCAAAGTAGTTCGGATTTTGACGCAAAAAGTTTTGGTTCTGTTCGAATAAAAAATAAGTTTAATAAAATGTCTAATAGCATGTAAATCTAAACTCGATTCTGAATATTTTTTTCAGTTCGACCCAAAACAGTTTCGAGAAGAATTCTCGAAGTTTATTCGAACACACTTCTCGCTAGTGAAAACGTCTTCCGACTTCTTGCTTTCCAATCAACTTTGATCTTCAAAAATGTCAAAGCAATGCCAATCGTTATCTTCCCTCTTTTTACTTTCTGATCTTTTATTGTTCTCTCCTTAACATTTTTACTCATATTCTCTCAAACCCCTTGCCTCTTACAGGGCTTGTCCCCTAACCTCGGGCGAAATGGTTATATATATATATATATATATATATATATATATATATGTATGTATGTATGTATATATAGATCAAGTATGGACAGGAGTCCGACAAAATGATAGTATAAAGAATAAGTCTCGGATTGCTTTGATAAAAATTTAAACCAAAACAAAATTTTTCAAAACATTCTGCTGCGTGCCATTGATATTCATTGATTTTAAAGTCCAGAATGTTTCTCACACATATTTGAATATCGTCTGTTAATCATTACATGTGACGCGTATCTAACCAATAAGAAATAAGCAAACACAACATACAATTAATCTGCATCTATTCCCTTTTTATTATATTTGTTATTATTTCTATCTTGAATCTCTGACGAAGATTTAATAAAGGCAAACATGTTAGATTGAGATCTGTTTCCTGAGTGTTCTTTATCATCTCATATATAGTGGGGAAAAATATTCGGACACATACATTTTTTTTAATTTATTGTATTCCCAACAAATGACTAAACATGCTTTTCATTTAATTAACTTTACACGGGCGCATAATAACTAAATATGCATAGAAAACCAGACAAAAATGATTTAATAGAAACAAATCCCATTTATCAATTTATCAATGCGAAAAAAATATTCGTACATTACAAAAAAAAAGAAAAGAAAAAGAATAACACCGTATTTCCCCACTTGATGAGACGTCTAAAAAAAGTTTACCCTTTTTTTGACGTTGTGTATGTTCTGATGTAACACTGCATAAGATAAATAAATATTTAGGGCACTACTTTATGTATTGACCACTATTTTGAAATTAATGTTTTGAACGCTGTAATCCTACTGTTCGTTCTACTACACTATATATATATATATATATATATATATATATATATATATATAAATAAATATATATAATTTAAATTTAAGGATCCATGTAATAAATTATTTCACCACAGCCTTTTAAAAGGACTGCGGATCATCAGACTTTACTTCCAAACAAAAATTAAAAAAAAGATTTACACATTTTTGACGGGCCGTATTAAACATATGTAAATTAACGAAGTGAGGAAGTGAGAGGGAGAGAGAGAAGACATGAGTGAGTTAGCAGATTTACATTGAGCTCTCTGGATTTTATCCTCCTAAGGTTTATCCATATGGATTACCTAGTTTTACATAAACTAACTAACTATATATATATATATATATATATATATATATATATATATATATATATATATATATATATATGTATGTATGTATCTGTGTGTGTGTGTGTGTGTGAGTGTGTGCGCTTGCGCGTGTGTTTAAAATAGCCTATATGATCCCGACAATTGGAAAACATTCATGAAAGTATGTTTACTTCGAAGTATATCCGATTAGCCATTATCAGATGTAGCCTAGACGGCGAAATGCATAATGGGATATATTTCGAAAGAAACATAGATTCTTGAACGTTTTCCATTTGTTGATAATTTAAAACTTTGTCGGGATCATATACCCTATTTTAAAGATACTGTCGACACGGAGAAGGCATGAATAAAATTAACCACATCTTGTATTTTCTGTCCCTTCTGAATGATTCCATCTTTCGACTCGAATACTTAAAGCCTAGTACATAAATGTTAACGACGTTTTTAAAAGTTACTTATTTTCTTTCTTTTGTAGTCATCTGCAAAGCCAACTCGGGAGAAAATAATAAGATTTCATTATTTAAATATACATACATACATACACATACAGCAAATCCCTTTTCTTTGCTTTTGATCTGATGAAGGCTAGACAGCGAAATCGTATATATTTCGAAACAAACATATTTTCATGACCGTTTTCTAATTGTCATGTATATATAGTCGTAACAATTTATTTCTCCCAAACTGTTCCATTATATCTTGAATCAGGAAATTACATATTGTATTAGAAAATATCTCGTCTCCCTCAAAAGGTGAACGAGATATTTTCTTGATGTGATATCACAAATTGCTATGCATTGTGTTGCATTGGAAAACCTGTTTGTAAAAAAATCTTTTTACTCCATCTGTTACATATATTTACGGCAACTGGTAGTACTCGGAATATTTCACGATTTCGCTGTGTTGATTTTTCAGGTCAGACATAATTTAATGCATGATTTCCTTACTATTTCCACGATTATATGTTTCTTCTTCTATGTACCGTATCACTTCACAACGTTGGCGATCATGGCTCTCAACAATTTCATTTCACTTGTAGATAAACTGTTCTTTTTTTTCCGATGTCTTTTCTTCAT